GCGCTTTCCGAAACAACTCTGCATCTCGTCCTTCAGTCGCGACGCACACTAACCTGGCTCACGACGTCACCACAATTTTCCAGCGCGCTGACCGCCTTATGCGTGCTCTCTACGCATGCCCAGCCAATCAACACATACAACAGATACGCAACAAAAAGGTCTTATCACGGAGATTATGTAGAATTCCAGGCACGCGCAAACGGCCAGCACACTTCCACGGCACCCATCGACACTGTGAGCAGATGCCGCACGCACCCTACACCCCTTAAAGAACTGTTCCGCAATCGCTTCGGCAGAAGCACTACACATATATGCATATCTGGAGGTGCAGTACAACCTACCTGCGGGGGCGTCAAATGCTTGCATGACAAAAACCAACTGCACAGCGCAACTGCCTCCATGATGCATCTTCTCTCAACTGCTGGCGGCAGGCCAACAGGAAGACACAGCCCCACCTAGCCGACATGCGAAAACAACACACGCCTGTAGAACGATGGACCACTTCCCCATTGACATTCGACACCCTGTGCAGCGCTTTAAACAAGAAAATCATCGAGGAACAGCGACGCATTAATGAATGACATCCTCGCGGGGACATAATCTCTCAACTAGCCTCACGAAATCAAACGGTGCCCTGACATACCGCTACAACACACACTCAGCCAGATAAATGTACAGAATCGATACGTAATGTAGCATCGCCTGAGCATCAACCGCTACTTGCCTCCTTTCCGGCAAGTCGACTATCACCCTACAAAGCTTTGGTTGTCACAAATGCGCCAGCTCCCCTACCACATCTAAATAGCGCATGCGTTTGATATTTATGATTCGATTAAAATGACAGGCAACACACGCTCCTAGCTGCTGTGCGCCTCGGATCTTTGCGGCTCCGTTTCCTTATCATGTTCCCAGTATCTCGCCCTAACAGGAATCAACCGCAAATTCAGCAAAGCTTCCCAGATACAGCGGACATGAACACAGGCGCACAAATCGTGCAAAACCTACGGTGCTCATACATGCTGGGCCCCTAGCACTCCGCAAAATGCAGCGTGTACTCCTTTCGGCAGACAGAGCTGAATTCAACCAGGCCAGGAAGGCCATGCGGAAGCTTCGTTTCTACTGCAAAACGATGAAAATGGCTGCATGGGGCGTTTCTCTAAGACCAACAAGAAGAGAAATTGTTCAATACATGCGCAAGAATTGGAAGTGTTCAACACGTGCACCAAACACAGTGCAGGAGGCCGACCGACTGGTTCCAACTTGCCTTTGCATAGAGAATTCGGGGGCTGGGATATTTTTTGGCGTTATATGCGGACGGCGCACGACAGGGAGTGCCAGATATAATTTGCGCTTTCTCCGAACACAAACCAACTCGAAGAATCTCGCCGAGCGCTAACCCTTTCACCCTGAACCCTATAACTGAACCCTCGACCATACCAAAAATCCCAGACCCTGAACCGTAGACTTCGTTTTTGAGGCCGAGAGCGGACCTGTAGTCTCTGACGAAAATCAGCCAGAAAAACCGGTTTTGCTTTTTCTCGTGTTCCCGGATGGCTGCGAAATGAGTTGCGATCTCTGCGTCTTTAATGCAAATGCGATGAATTTGTTCTACATTTTGTATTGAAAGCGCCTTAGGCTGCGGCCGCGCTCGGGTATGATTGTCTGCAGCAAGCAAACCAGCCTCAGGAAAACCCTTGCTGCCAATCCAATCTACTTAACGCGGGGCACACACAAGCGTGGCTCTCTCCTACCGCGTTTCTCGTTGCGCCTATGCTGCGTTCGCCAATCAGTGAGGCCGCCTGTGATGGCCCGCACCGTCGCACCAACGCCTTGCAGCACTGCAACACCAAGCACCAGTAGATACCGAGCAAGAGCACGGCTAAAGCAAAACGTGTCAACACGCCTGTTCACACTGCATCTCCAGAGCATTCCATGGATGCGCATGCACATCCATGCTTGCCATCAGAAAACCTACAACATAAACGAGACCACACCCGCGCCAAACAAATGAATTTCCTTCTAATCCCGTACTTGCTGGGCAAAGCCATCGCAACGCCATGAGAGGCATCTCCACATCAGGGCAGATACATGAACCAACACAAACGCCTTAATCCCACAACAACAACGCATGCGTATCCCTCGTCCTTTTGCCAAATAGTGCGCACGCTCCTGTCGGCAACTGGAGGTGAGCTCGACCACCGCAACTGAACCAACCACAAGCGTCATGCTAACTGCGAAGCGCTGCAACTAGATGTAGGAAGGGTTCATGCCGACTCGTTCCTTGTTGAGAACCCAGCGCCTGCCAACAATGTTCAAGACGTGCAGGAAACATCATGCGCATGCTGACCGACCGCTTGCCTCCCGTTGACCTTGCATTCTGCAGTGGGGTGCTATGAGAGCTTTCCCGTGAAATGCCGAGTGCGCACGAAAATATATGACGTCCATGAATTGCACATACCCCGACCCGACAAAGAGTTTAGCAAATGTGCGCAAAGCATAAGCACATGCCTCCCAGGACTTGTCACGTAAGTGCACGCCGCAATGCCGAAGCATGCCGGTCCACTAGACACAAAAGAAGAGTACTGCAAGCCCAAAACAAACTCTTACCACTTCCTGCACTGCCCCATTTGTTTGCAGACATGCATGTACGCTTCTATGGCTGAAATCACAATGCATGAAATCAAACAGTATCCACGACCACTCGGGTTACTAACTATGTGCATACTCCCTGACAAGAACAACTCGCGATCGCAGCGCTAAAGCAGGCTTAGCAACAGCACGGTCGTAGACGTGAGCACACAAACCGTCGGCGCATCCACGGGCGGACACCCGTGAGGCGAGCTTGTGCTGAAAAAAAACGAGTCAAACGTCAAACGTTTGGGAACCACTCATTAAATACAACACGTGGGGCACAAAAAACAAAACGCATGCAGCATCAGCAACTCACCTGCCCCCGAAGAGCCGTACTTTGCAGATGGGTCATTTACGCAATCCCTGAAAACTGTCGCATCGTCATCCTTCCCTGGAGCTCCGCTGCTCTCGCCCCTGCGAACCCGGCTAACACCATAGAAACGTTGGACCATACTCAATGCATCAATCACTTCTTCACAACTCAACGCCTCTACCCGTCACAATCACGCAGCATACCACACTCAACAGACACTGCTCTTGTCGGATGCTACAGGCAGCTATAGCCATTTGGTCCGTCCTACACACGCATACAGAAGAAGCAGGGGCTCCCAGGGAAAACAAATACACCAAAGCGACCAGTCCCAACTGCTCCTACCTTAGTGCCTCCACCTCTTAACACGCGACAGCATTCCAGCTTTCGCGTTCAACTCAGGCTGAACGCCGCACGCTTCAACACCTGAGTGCAACATCGCGCTCCAAAACCGCTCTACTTCTCGTGCTTCAGCCGCGACGCACACTAACCTGGTTCACGACGTCACCACAATTTTGCAACGC